AGAAGACGATTCGTTGTACCGTTCTCGACTCTTAATCCTTAATTCAGTTCCCTCCCCTCCCGCGCAAAGCGCGGAAGCTTCGACGTTTCATTAAATTATTAGAGAAAGAAGACGATTTGTTGTACCGCTCTCGAAAATGATCCTCGTCTGAATTTATTTTCCCGCGCGAAGCGCGGAAGCTTTTACGTTTCAATAAATCATTTGCGAAAGAAGACGATTCGTTGTACCGTTCTCGACTCTTAACTCTGTCTGAATTTCAAAAATGTTCTTTGTCTACTCCCTTTTCTTCCTACGTCCTCTTCCTTTTCACTCCTCTCTTTTTTGGGGGGACCATCTCACCTCCACCCCCTGGTTATGACTTTTAATCCTCGTCTAAATTCAGTCCCCCCCCCCCTCCTATCCCACGCGAAGCGCGGAAGCTTTTACTTTTCATTAAATCATTAGAGAAAGAAGACGATTCGTTGTACCGTTCTCGACTCTTAATCCTTGTCTGAATTAAGTTCCACCCCACCTTCCTGCGCGAAGCGCGTAAGCTTTGACGTTTTATTAAATTATTAGAGAAAGAAGACGATTCGTTGTACCGTTCTCGACTCTTAACTCTGTCTGAATTTCAAAAATGTTCTTTGTCTACTCCCTTTTCTTCCTACGTCCTCTTCCTTTTCACTCCTCTCCTTTTTTTGGGGGGGGGGGGACCATCTCACCCCCACCCCCATGGCTACGCGCCTGCGGTCAGATGAACATAAGTTGATACCTTCTCCGCCCCCGGAAGTTCAGGAGTTTACGGCAATAATTACGGTCAGATTAGCATTCAGGGGTCCGCCTTAGGGCCCTAGGTGGGGCCCAGGGGGCAGAGCCCCGGAAGTTCTGGGGTTTTAGGCATTTAATTACGGTCAGATGACCATTATTTTGATACCTAATTGTGACACTGGCAGGTCGCTAATTGGCGTGGGGTTCAGGGGGCGGAGCCCCCGGAAGCTCAAAGGTTTAAGGCACTCAATTACGGTCAGATGAGTATCAAGGGGCCCGCCTTAGGGCTCTTGGTTGGGTCCAGGGGGCAGAGCCCCCTGAAGCTCAGGGGTTTCAGGCGTTTAATTACGGTCAGATGAGCATTTTTTGATACCTTATTATTTTATTTAGCGTGGGGTCCAGGGGGCAGAGCCCCCAGATATCAGGGGTTTTAGGCATTAAATTACCGTCAGATGAGCATCTGAGGGCCCGCCTTAGGGTCCTAGGTGGAATCCAGGGGGGCAGAGCCCTCGGGGTTTTAGGCATTTAATCATGGTCAGATGAGCATATTTTGATTCCTCATTATAATGTGACACTGGCAGTTAACTTTTTTTTCTTTCTTTCTATTTCTCTTTAATATATTTTTCAAAAAAAGTGGGGGGGGGGGGGGGAGAGGGCCTCGAGGATCCCGATCCCCACCGTTCCGCAGGCCCTTTAGGCATCTCTAGAAGCATTTTCTTGCCTGGCTGTAAATTTAGGAATTCGTCATTTTCCAACAAACGCATAAAAAAGGCATAATTTACTTAAAAGTGAGGAAAAATCTCGAAAAATTATGTCATTTTAGCATTAATTATACGGAAGCGTTAAAGTGCCATTCTACTTGAGGACATGACGAGATATTTCATCTTGTCAAGTCGACTTAATATCCATATCATGTCGACATGTAAAGATATTTAACCTACCATGTCCACTTATCAACTTTTATTAGTCGACATGGCGAAATAAATTATCTTGCCAAGTCGACTTCACAAAAAGTTCATGTCGTAATGGCGACATAAGTTATCTTACCAAGTCGACTTCTAAAACATACATGTCGTCATGGCGACATATATTATCTTACCAATTCGACTACCCAAAAAGTAATGTCGACATGGCGAAATAAATTATCTTGCCAAGTCGACTTCACAAAAAGTTCATGTGGATATTATGTGGATATTAAGTCGACTTGACAAGATGAAATATCTCGTCATGTCGTCAAGTAGAATGGCACTTTAACGCTTTCGTAAATTGTAAACCACCGTTATGGAATTATAAATAAACCACGTTTGAATTTTATTCCCCCCCCCCCCAATCTACACCTTGTTGGCGGGAAAATTGCAACTGATATCCCTTACCTTTCTTCATTCTCTTTTTTTTCTTCTTTCCCTTTCTCTCCTCTTTCCCTTTCCCTTCATTTCTTTCTCTCTCTCTCTTTTAGGTTTACTGGGGGGGGGGGGGGTGGGGCAAGGTCATATGACCCCCATGCACCCCGCTCCACATATTGTTGACGGGATAAGCCGCAACTGAACTCCCCTTCTTTTCTCCCTTTTCTTTCCTTCTTCCTCTTTTTTTGTTCCCTTTAGCTCTCCTCTATTCCTTTTCATTCCTCCTCTCTTTTTTTTAGCGGGGACGGGGGGGGGGGGAGGGGGAGCAGGGGCCTTTTGCCCCCTCCCCCTTCCGATCCACAACTTTTTGGCGGGAAAATTGCAACTGATATCCCCTTCTTTTCTTTACTTCTTCCTCTTTTTCCCGTCCCTTTATCTCCTCTTTTCCTTTTTTCTTTCCCTTTCCTTCCTTCTCTTTTATTTTTTGATGAGGGGGGGGGGGGGGGAAGGTAACAGCCTGGAAGGCAAGTCCTCCCCCCCCCCCGATCTCCTTCTTACCTCTTTTATTTTCTTCTTCTTTTTTCCCTTTCTCTCCTCTTTCCCTTTCCCTTCTTTTCCTTCTCTCTCTCTCTCCTTTTTTTTTTTTTTTTTTGGCGGGGGGGGGGGGGCAAGGCCCGCTCGGCCCCCTGAATCCGCGCCTGTCCAGGGGCCCACCTTAAGGCCCTGACATGAAGGCTTCTGAATAAGCATATTTTGCCCGACTGTAAATTTGGGAAGTTATAGTTTTCCAACAAACACATATACAATTATAATTTATAAAAAAAATTGAGAAAAAATCCTGGAAAATCATGTCATTTTAGCAACATTTGTAAATCACTGGAGACATCGAATTAGAAATAAACCACGTTTGAATTTTATTGGGGGGGGGGGGCTCGTTTCTTTTCACGCATCAAAACACACTCGCTTTCCCATCCTCTTACAATATTTCCACAATATACGCGTATCGCTATTACCAAATCCACCGTTGATGAATATTGGGGCATGCGGAATGTTTTGGAAATGTTATAACTTTTTCCCTTTTTTTAAATGGAATATTATTTTTGTTTTGATTCAATTCATGTTTCATTATTTTTTTTCTTTTTGGTTGAAAAATACAAATAGTTTTTACTCCTTTACTGCTGATGTTTTCCGGAGGGGTGGGGATTTTTTTCTGGAGGGGGGGGGGGGCTAAAAATATGTTTTGCTCCCCAATTTTGTTGTTTGGAGGGGGGGTCAACTGTAGTCTTTACGTTTTACCATAACAGTGCCTGTAGCATAGAACATAAATGAAGAGTACAAAACACATGATTATATTTCTTGTGTAAACACACTTTATTTATCAACGCAATTATGTAATCAAAATTGATATCACTAATTGGAATAATAACGGTAGACAGAGAGGGTTGTATATAAGTTGCATACTTAGTATAAATTAATAACATTCATTAATAATTTGGCGATTTCTGTTTGAAATACAGCCCGCCTCTTAAAGATATAGACCGGTAGTGAACAAATTGCTGTTCAAGGGTTTTGGATGCAAAATATCCATTTAATACCCGGCCCCCCACTCCGGGGTCGAAATGACCCCATGCGTGTTACCAAAATGTCCTGTAAAGGGGTACTTTTCGTGCGACAAAGTCCGGCCCGAGAATTGTAAAAAAAAGGGGTGTATTAACTCTTCACCCGGAGATTTCTTTAAAAAAGGGGTGTTTTTTCTTTTTTTTTCTCTCATCTCTTTGGACTCCTGAGAAATTATTCCGAATTTAGGGGGGTACATTGAGCATTTTTCATGATTTAGGGGGGTCTCCAAGGCAGGAAAAGCCCGCGAAAGGGGGGTTTGGAAATGTTGGCAGTCCTCAGATAGGGGGTGCTTTCAAAAAGAGGAAACGAGCATATGCGTACCCTAAATAACACTGAGTGGGGGGGGGGGCCGGGATTTAATATTGACTTGACAGAGGTTTAGATGGGAATACTTCAACCTAAATTCGCAAAAAGCAGAAATATGTGCCCAAATATTCAATGTTGAAGTGCATTTGCGATATCTATCCAGTCCAGATCGATATGATAATTTACCAAATATATCAATTAGTAGGCAGTTTCCCGGCAAAATTTGTTTAATTATATCTTACATTGTACTACCCTTACATGTATATAACTTTTATTACTTTAAAGGTAAAGACCAGTTATGGTCATGCGATTGCATTGTGAAAGAAACGTTGTGGAATCGATCAGAAAAGTTTGATCATCTAGCATCTAGCATCTGCAAGGTTCTGGAATCATCAAAATGATAAGAAATTTGGCCCATTCTTCGTAAAGTTACAAGCACTATACACAGAAAGACGTATATGGGACTACCCTATATCTCTCACAGACCATGAGAGAAACAAATTTACCAAATATATGAATTAGTAGGCGGTTTCCCGGCAAATTTTTTATCATCATATATTAGTCAAAACATATTCTTTCACATGATTGGTAATGAGAGCTTCCATTTCATTTTTTAAAATTGGGGCGTTTCCAATACTGGTCTTTACCTTTAATATGCTTTTTATTGTATTATTCTATTATTGCAAAGTATGTTAAACTTTAACTTATGTGTATTTTACTTTATTTCTTGAATTACTTGATGGTCGTATATGCCCACAATTATACAATCTCCACACAACTGCGCCAAAAGTGCCAGTTTTGACAGACATGGCGCATTATAAATGTTCACTATTATTTAATATTTATTATTATTAGTCAAAACACATCTTTCACATGATTGGTAATAAGAGCTTCCATTTCATTTTTGAGAGGGGGGGGGGAGAGGTTTCCAAAACTGGTCTTTACCTTTATATATATTTTTCGGGGGGGGTAGGGGGGGGGGGGTAGGGAGGTTTGCGGCTGTCATAGTTTCGATGAGCTTCCGTGGTCATGGATGAAATGAGAGTGACGTTGATTGTACGATGTGTTGTTTCACAAGTTCCACTCGACGTAATTACTCCGCCGATGCCTTGTAATAAAATTGTAAAAATAACACACATGAAAACGACGTAGTTAATCAGCAGAATATTAACTGTTACATGAAACGTGGGGGTCTGCGCTTGAAGTATAAATACAATATAGCAATAATAATGATACAGCGTGCATGAACATGGGAAAGATAATCCTACGAGAGCTCCCAACTGGTCAGCTAAAGGTTCTTAATTATAGGCTCAGCCTCGGGGACGATAATATTCATGGCATGACGTTGAGGGTCACCGATCGTTACGCATTATGATAACTTTACATGATGAAAACAATTGTATCTTTACTTTTTTTTTCTCGTTAGACGTCATCATTTTTTATCATATCGTTTTTGTTTTGTGTGGTAGCTTTACAAGCCTACTGATAATGGGTATGGTGCGGAAGATAGTCCATGCCCTTTCTTTTCTCGTCCTTTCCTCTTCTCATTTTCTCACCTTTCTGGCATTTTCTGGATTTGTCTACATTCTGACTACTCATGCAGTGAGATGAGTGGGGCACGTCCACCCCTACCCCGTATAGAAATGATAACACATAATAATGTTGAGCTAACAGTTATTCAAACTGCGAGGTATGTTATCAGAAATTCATGGTAAATCTTACTTTTTCCCCATCAACCCCCAATGTAGCAACTCGGCGTCTCACAAGGCGGCTCATCATCATCATCCCCCTGTTCCTCGATGGTAGCGGACTCAGCGGAGTCCATGTCTCCCGATTCAACTAAATATAACAACATGATGATATAAGGCAATCAGCAATACTCTATTGGTCGAATGTGTATCGTCGAGTAACGGTACATGTTGTTTCTTTGAGCGAAATTCTGATAGATTTATTATTTCCTAAATAATAAACAAGTGTATTCTTCAATGTGTTACTCAACTGACATCTTCGGCTGGTTCGGTAGATTTATACATTTTGTTTAAACGTTGCACTATAGACTACAAGGTTTAGGATAAACATTCAAGGATTAGAACATACAAAACTCAGTACATATCTCTAACATCAATAGGTTAAATACGCTGATTATTAGTATCCAATTGTCATAATATATAATTATGCTGCTCAGTGGCGTACGCAGGATTTTTTTAAGGGGAGGTGGTTAACATTTTGAAACCGGGCCAAATTTTTCGAAACGACTCAGCCAGCCGCTGAATAAGCGGGGGGGGGGGGGGGGGGCGGTGGGGGTAAGAGGATTTTTTTTTTTTTTTTTTTTTTTTGTCCCCCCAAAAATCGCAACGACTCAGCCAGCCGCTGAATAAGGGGGGGGGGGGGGGGGGAGGGGGAGGGGGGGGGGGGGGGGGGGAGGGGGGGGGGGGGGGGGGGGGGGAGGACACTTTTTTTTTGGTCTCGAAATTTAAAAGTTTGACATTTTTCTTCGTTGAGGGGGGGGGGGTAAGGTCATATTTTTAGGTCAGCCATGGGCATAATTTTTTTTTTTATACAATTAAAAAAAAACACCAAAAGGGGGGGGGGGTTGTGGGGGTTTTCCTCAAAAATACACACATAAAAATACCAAAGGGTTAACCCCCCCCCCCCCCCATTCCTGCATACGCGACTGACGCTGCTCCTTTAAGTCTGGGTTTCAATTTTGTTTTTAAATGAAAAAGAATTCTAGTTGATACAGGTTTTGAAATCTTTTTAGAATTTGAGTGGTGAAATCTTCCTCTTTCCTATACGAAAATGGGTTGCCATTATTGCAATTGATCACTACGATTGGGATTTTTCTTCAATTGCTAATTGTAAATACACATTGATAATTGAATCAATTAGGAAGAATTAAAAAGAAAATATATAATGCAGTTTCTCCAGGAATGTTGTCGCCTGTGCGGTGGCTTAAATATAATATCCATACAATAATTGCTTTTAAAGAGGTTAATGACTTTTAGATTGTGTTTTGTCGTCATCATGGTGATTATGTGCAGGTGAAGTTTAAAAGTATTTTTTTTGTAACCCACTGGGCGTATTTAACAGTTAGTTTGTAAACACACTCCTTGCCAGCTATAACGTGTAACACATAAAGGGGGGTCGTAACCATAGCGTTCTGAGAGAGATAGTTGTAACAAGCATACACTTACGCGATCAAAGGAGCTCCAAATAGTTCCACACAAATAGTTTACAGTCTTTATAATTATGGATATAGGAACTATTTGGAGCTCCATGAATTGACATTTGATCACGTACGTATGCGTGTGTCACAACTCCCCCCCCCCCCCCCCCCCCCTCTCTCTCTCTCTCTCTCTCTCTCTCTCAATATATGGTCTAAACTAACCAAGATGTATAGGCATAGTAGTTTCATAATAGATATCGCCTTAGAAAGGGCTTTCAGGTAGGCCTTATTTAATGAGTACTGTTGTAGAGGCACGTTATTAAAAATAGCTACCAACATAATTTAGATAAGGCAGCTAATTTTCTTTGTTATGTTTAGTACACAGTACAAGATAGGTTTAGAGCTAGGTTTAGAGTAAGGGTCGTCTATGGCTTAATTCTTTTTTCATTAAAAAAAAATAGAAATCATGCTGCTACAACTGATTAAATATACCAGATTAGGCATTATGGTTCATGATATAGAGCTCAAGTCAGGTTGCAATCGAATCATATCAATCATCTCAGCCCTGCCCCTTGTAGCTATTTGCAAGCTGGTTTAAACCTCTATTACTGAAACAACTAAAAACACTTTAAATGGCTCAATAAAGTATGTGCTTGACAATAATATTATCTTACCGCTTTCAGGTTCAGAAGTAGATGATGAGTTTCCGCTTGAATCAGCATGAACACACACCACCACCACCATCATCACCACCATTGATAAGATGAATAACTTCATGACTGCTTTAGATAACGGCTACTATATGCAAGAATCAACGAAAACAGTGTTGCAAATTTATGTTTCACTGATGACAACTTCAAAAATCTATTTTCATAGGATATTGCTCAAATTTTATTAATTTGTTTGTCTCATTATTCTGCTTTTATTAATACTATTAAATATATCATGGTGGACTTCCCCTTTAAAGTACTACGTCCCATTTGCATGCCAAAACATGAAAAGGTCAAATTCCAACGGCATTTTAAAGACAATACTAATTTAGAACTTCCCTCAAAATAAAAGGGCTTGAAAACGGTCGTACGTCGTACGTTTTGTGCTGCACAAAGATTCAATAAGTTTAATTTCGGCTATTACAAGTAGTGGATTATTGATGTAGACAAATGCTCATGTACCTGTTACAGCACATTTTAGGTATGTTATTTAAGATACGAAGATATCAGTCAGTCACTCAATAGTGTCTGACAGTGAAGTCTATATAGAAGGTAAACGGTTTTTTGTGTGCACAATTTAAATACTAGGACACTGCTAATGTTTGAATTTCACAGATAGGACATACATGAAACGGGAAAATATAAAATACCAGAAAAAAACGCCCCCAAATCTACGAATCTGTAAAGACTGTAATATGAATCTTGTAGGAGATGAATGCCATATAATTATGAAATGTGACAAGTATAAATATTTACGAGTAGATTTTATAGGGAAAATTAGTAATCTGGAATTTTTTTTTAGTAATTTGGAAAGTCAAGAAAATTTCATATTTATAATGAGATTAGACAATAAAGTTGTAATAGATATTTTTCTTCGTTCACCAAAAACATAATTGCAATGAGGGGTAATTTTTTAGATACACTGTAATAACAAAGTAGAAATGTACAATCTTATGCTCTTGGTTTAATTCTGCAGTAGGTTGCAGATATGTATAAGTACTATTACGTCCTTTATTTTAGGCATTCTATGTACCTCATTTACCTATTTTGTATGGCATGAGTTATAATTTATTTGAAAAAGTGCTGTTTATGTTTTATATATTTAAATCTTCGGATGTAAATTGATACATTATATTACTATATGCATTATGTCATGTTATTACTAAAAGAAAAAAGAGTGTTTCTACTGAATATAATTGTCCTACTGTTTTGCTATAAACACTGTATTGTAAATTGATTTATACGGTATATATATATATATGTTTACAGAATATTGATTTGTTACATTACATTGTAAATTGACTTATATGTCATATATGTTTCCTAACAGAATATTGATTTGTTACATTACATTGTAAAGTGATTTATATGTTTATAAACAGAATATTGATGTACATCAATGAAGTTTAATAAATACAATACAATACATTAAATGGCATATTCATAATTCCTGCAAAAATCTACAGAATTTTATGTTGGCTGCAAAAGGGACATAGTATCTTTAAAACATTTGGATAATATTTTACACATAGGAGGTATACAAAAAAGGACCCTACATGTGTGTTGGGTAAGACAAAGAACCAACACTAGGTAATGTTTAACCAATTTCTGGTACATTTCACCTAACTACAAACATGCAATAATAATAATCGCTCATTACCAACTTTGAGTTTGAAAACAGTATTTTGAAAGCAAATACCAATGTAAGTCAGTGGATTAAAGCCGTACCAAAAGACACTAGCACACTTAGACCTCCCGTTTACGAGATCACTGGGCCATCGTACCCCTCAAAATTGCCAAAGCATAGCTCCTGATTAATGTGCACTAAAAGCCCGTTGCACAAGAGGCGAACAAATGTCTAAAGAAATGCAGACCTACGCTCAACAACTGAATATACATTAATTATTCCCAAATTCTTAATCTCAACGACCGAAAAACGTTTTATAGTGGCTGCTTCGGAAGATAATTAACCTGCCTTGCCACTTTTAAAAGATCCCATTAAAACATACTTGTTCCCTCAGTAATAAAGATTGATTCACCTATCTAATAGTTTATTTTTTCTCTTCACATTCTGTTACTTAGTAAGCGATAAGGTACTTTTTGTTTTAGCGCTCCTAAATAATCGATATCATTGTCAATACAATTACAACTGACGGAATCAGAAAGACGTATCGTGTCCAACAGTCATAACGTAAGGGATGTTGGTCCTACCTGATTTCGATGCGGTGTTCGAATAGAATTCTGTGAGATGATATACTTTCTCGTAGCTTGATGTAACGAAGTGTTTCTACCCAGATATCTGTTGAATTACTGTCTAGATAGCTTCTAGTTTTATAGAATATCGAAGCCTGAAATGACCTTCTGCTCGTAACCGACAAGTCCCTGCATTCAAATTAAATTGCAAAAAGTGTTCAACAACACGATGGTGGATGAAACTTTCTAATATTCGAAGATATATGACCCTGAGACCATATTGTTTCATTATTTTTTATTCAATCAATCAACGTCAAAGAATTGATTTATCATCGCTCTTCAATTTATTATTTCACCTTTCAATGTACTTTCATTCTTATGCATCACAAAAGAACACTGAATTGGATTCTTCAGTGTTTGTTTTGATTAATTTCCTTCCCTTTCCTTATCCCTGTTTAATACTGATAAAATTTTCAATTTTTCTGAATCAAGGCAAAATATTATTTTTCATATTTTCTTTATGCAAGAGAGAGAGAGAGAGAAGTTAGAATTATCGAGTACAACTATGAATTGCATCCTTTTCAATAACTCAATTAGCTAAAAATATTCAGAATTTGAATATGATAATTCCACATAATACACCAACGCTGTTAAACGCATCCAACGCTCCAACCATAGCCCATATGCCAATACACCATATTTATCAAATATGAAAAGATTTTTAAATGAAATTTGAAGAAAAATCAAATTTACAATGCACTGACAGGCATCAGTTGAAATCATGAATTCACTGTGACTGGCTTAGCACTAGTTTCTGAGGGACCAGTCACTGAAGATCCATAATTTTACATGTGCCTCGAAATACAGTACATTTGATTGACATTCTTCATCAACAAATGAAAAAAACTAAGCATGTAAGCTATGAAGCTGTAGAAATCAAGTATCAATTCACACCTTTCTACAAAATACACACAAACACACACGTACACACATGTACACACAACACACACGGTAACAATTATTGTTTCATAATTTCCCCTTTTCTGATTAAGCATTCATTTTTATCAAGATCGCTGAATGTTTAAGTGGCATTTCCCTGACAATCTTTCACACTACCACCATCATATCATCGTCATCATTGTCATCATCTTAATCTTTATCATTATCAACATTTATCTTAATACGAAGGTACGTTATCAATCGTTGGCTATCGTGTGTGCGTGTGTGCGTGTGTGTGTGTGTTTGTTTTGTCTGTCTGATTGTCTTTGTTCAAAACACTATTTTATTTCTCACCCAGCAACTTGGCACAAGTAAGATCTGGCAGTCTTGTGAAGATTGTTTGATGTTCAGTCATGCATACAGAGATTCAAATGAAAATGGTACCTAAATGTACTGGGAGGATAACTCTATCAAGACATATCATGAAACCCATGATCAAATTTTCGTACTTCCAACAATACAACTTTTAAAAAGTGGGACATTTTTCTGACTCACTCTGTACATTATGAAGGTCGGGCAATGGCAAGATCAACTGCAAAAGCAGGCCGTATGGTGTTTTCAAATCGACTTTTTCATGAAATACTTTTTCGATTATCTCTTTCAATTTAAATTTGGAAAGCTATCACAGAACATCTGGCTGGAATAATGTAATTGAAATTTGTAATTTAAAACTCTATTTATCACCTAGGCTGATTTTACATGACCTTGTTCACTAGCGGATACTGCCTTTAAAATCAGGGATTGCATACTGCATAGCCGGCCGCGAATTTTTTCCCCCAAACAGGCTTACCTATGAGCGTAAAATCCTGCCTCCTGATTGGTTCAGAGGTACACGCAACATGAATATTCACGACTGAGCTGCAAAAATACTAATATTACGCATGCGCGTGACACAATTCAAAGCTGCTCATAGCATGCAGCCAGGCCCCCAAGCTCCGCCATTTTGTCCGGATCCATTAGAAGCCAAAATAAGTCCTTGCATAATTCATGAGCCATATGAATTATGCATTCTGTAGGATGCTCCCCGCGAAAAGTGTACTGGAATGATGTTCACTACATGGTAAAAGACAAAGCGCGTATCAGCGTAATTAGAGAGGTCAAATAATCTGCTGTTCGGAATTATGGGTAATTTATTCATTACGCTGCGCGCTAGCAACGCAAATGATTCAGCGAATCAGTGTGGATTATTCTGATGCGATCACCGTTAGGTGAAATACGCCCTCAGTTTCATCTTATAAGATGGTAGTTGACATTGTTAAAATGTTAATGTTTATTCATTGATGATTAGTTATCTTTAATTATTTGAAAGTTGACAAGATGATAAATTCATTAGCTTTTTTTAAATGTGGTATTCTACAAACAAATAATAAATAAATAGTATTTAAATATTCAAGTTTAAACCCATCTTTACTGTCCTCTTTCATTATATGAGGGTGGCATCTTTAAGACGTAGTCCCATGTAGATGTCTTCTGCATTTATCGATGAAGTTGTAGGCTAGTTTTCAGAAGAAAGGGCTGTGATGATAACCCAAGTCTGTTGAATGGAAAAATGAAATAAGATACAGTGTATAAGAAAATAAACAACAACTAATAACATACACCCTGATACCTGCTCTGACAAAAAGAGGAAAGACTAATATTCACTTGGGATTCTAGTGGGCAAACCTAAACTATTTTTCCTACTTGACTAGTTAATGACCACATGTTAGATTATTTCTGATGATCCCATTAAGACAATAGGCCTGATGGAGCTTGGATCAGACAAGTATGAAATAAGTAATACCGGTACATGTACAATGTACTTGTAATGCAAACTCGTGGTCATAATTGAATAATACTCGGTTAAGTATGGGACATAAAATGACCAAACAACTTGGAACAGAGAATGTACCGGAAATAATGTTATTGAAACATACGTTATGTAGACTTATATTTCATGTTTATTGACATTTTATTTTTAATCTAAATCACAATTGTGATATTCAGTCAAGTATTCTTTTACAAGTCAATGGACAATGAAAAATATATTTGTCAGATCTATAACTTTCTACATACCCGCATGTATATTAGCACACTTGCTCGTATGAAGAGTATAGTAGGCTCGCATCTCTAGATATGATCCTGTCAATATCTGTTATTTGTTCCTCTCCTGAGTTTGTAAACCAGCATGCCTTCATCATCCGCTGTAGAGAAGCATCATCCTACATGCGAGAAGACAATGTAGGTACTTCAATTTAAAAGTGATAATAATGGATACACATCAACCATAATACATACACATCAACCATAATACATCCTATAAACAGACGTTCATTAATTTTATTTTGTGTTCTTCTTCATCTGCATTGCTCAAGAAGTAAAAGGACCACTTACCACACCAATTCCTAAATGTAAGCCTGTTATACCTCAGAATTTAAGACCTATAGCACTAACCAGTTATTTTGCGAAAATAGCTGAGTCTTATATATGTAAATGGTTACTCGAAGACATTTCAATTCAAATTGATATTAATCAATACGGAAACCGTCAAAGTCTGTCAACTAATCATTACTTAATTCGTTTGCTTCACCAGATTTATAAAAATGCAGAAAATTCTCGGTCCATATCTACACTTATATTTACAGACTTTTCAAAAGCATTTGATCGTATAGACCATAATATACTTGCCAATAAGTTAATCCACCTTCATGTTCGGCCTTGTATTATTTCATGGATCTTAGATTTTATTGAACACCGTCAACAACGTGTGAAATATCTTGGTCATTTTCAGACTGGTCAACGTCTCATGCCGGTGTAGCACAGGGTACAAACTTAGGACCAATTATTTTCCTAATAATGATAAATGATGCTTGTTTTAACTCAGAAGTACCATACTTCAAGTATGTAGACGATCTGACATTAGTTGAAAGTCGTACATTATCACAACCATCTAAATTACCAAATACTTTATCTGATTTTTATCAATGGTCTCTTCGTAATAACATGACTCTTAATCCATCGAAATGTCATTGTATGTTTATCTCTTTTTCTAAGAATATAGCTGATCAGAGACCTTTGTTTATTGGGGATGAGTGCTTAAACAGTGTACAAAAAGCAAAAATTTTAGGAATAACTGTGCAGTCCGATTTGAAATGGGACAGTCATATCTCAGACCTTTTATGCCGTGCTAATAAAAAACTTTTCATGCTTCGTATTCTCAAAACATACAGATTACCTTTCTGTGATCTAGTAACAATTTACAAGGGATATATTCGCCCAATATTGGATTATGGAGTACCTGTTTTCAACGGAAACCTCACCCAAAGTCATATCTTAAGTTTGGAACGAATCCAGAAAAGAGCATGTAGGACCATACTAGGTGATCAATATATTAATTATGACAAAGCTCTTGAAGTGTGTTCTTTGCAGACCCTGTCAGATAGACGCAAACAATTATGCACTAATTTTGCTTCATCTCTTGTCAACAACCCACTTTGTAAACATTGGTTACCTGTTAACAATAATGTAGATTATTCACTGCGAAGAAGGACCAAGTATCGTCAATTTCATTGTAAAACGAACCGCTATAGAAATAGCTCAATTCCATACCTAATAGACCTGTTGAATGCATGAATGAATCTTAATTGTCTACCTGTTGAATGGTCCGGTGTCTCATTGTCTGCATACATTTTTACATTTTTACATTTTACATTCCGCATTTTAAATTTTAAATTCTATGCTTCCATAATTACTTGTAACATCTTTTTAAAATGTACATTGAATAGTGATAAGGTTTTGTAGCAATCATGACATGGCAATTCAGATCAAATGGTGTTCAAGTTTTTAATTCATTTGCTTATTTATCCCCAATTTACGAAAGTCGGGAAGGAGCTTACTTGTTTTGTTGTTGTTGTTTTTTTTTTTTTAAATACCCGACACTCCTTGACACGAGAGGTCCAGGGATGAGCGAGCAGACCGTTAGCTAGTGTATGGGAGTGTGAATGGGAGTGTGTATAAGAGTGTAAATGGGAGTGTTTATGAGAGTGTCCAAGGTACAGGAGTGAGAATAGGAGCGTGTATAGGAATGAGAGCGTGTATTGAAGAGCAAAGGGCCTGCTTGCTCATCCTTTGACCTACTCTTGTGTCACCTCACAAAATATATTTTAAACGTGAATTAATTTGCCTGTTATTGCCTTAGTCATATTAGTTACGAACTTTGTTATGAATTT